TCTGACTACCCCTTCGGGGATAAAAGGCGTGATGTTATGTGAGTTTATGTGTTTGTTTGTGTGTATATTTGTTACTCAGTCGCATCAAAACGGCTGAAGCGACCGGGATGAAATTTAAAACAGAGGTGTAATTATGGTCTGTAGTAACATAGGTACTATAGGCTATTTTATAGCCCTAGGAACGCGAGCGAAGCGTTTGTTAATAATAAAATTTTCTATTACTACATATTACACATAAACCTTTCTAATTATTACTACTGTAAAGATAAAGTATGGTATTCTCTTTGTTTCTTTCTCTCAGTTCTTTTTTTTAAACGAAAATAAATTTTTGCTACAGTTCAAAAACAATGGTCATAGTTACCATAGCAACTCGCCTAACTGGTAATTACATTGTCTTCCATCGAACAAATCCTCGTATCAAACAAAATTATAATCGAGAGTATCCTGACATGGATAAGTATTTACTTTTCCTTGAGCACTTTGAAGATTAACCTCAGACACGATTCAAAGAAAAAAAGAAAGAAAAAATTCGCAATAACTTCCTAATCCAAGCTACTTTGTACATTACAACAAACAGCTGATTCAATTTTTCTTCCTCACTGAGATTACTATGCTAATGCTTCAATAAAATATGTAATTTCTTCCATAATTGAAGACTTAGAAACATCTGGTAGGTTCTAGAGACCGTGAGACTCGTAATTCACTCGGTGATGCCTGTATATTTACGGCTAAAGCCGGGTAGATTACCTCCTGTCTCTTGTTGAATTATGGCCGTCTTATCTTCGACTTTTATAGTGTTGTTCGTAATCAGGTAGACAGTTTCTCTTATGTATTTGTTAGGTGTATTGCTGAGATTTATGTATAATGGATGGATGAATTTAAATTCGTGGGGTTTTAAGAGAAATATTGCATTATGGAAAATAACACACATAACATCATACCTTTTATCTCCGAAGGGGTAGGCAGAGTTTATGTTATGAGTCCCATGTAATAGGGGGTGAGCCTATTTCCATATACCGGGCAAATTTCCAGACTCCGTGCTACTACTGATTTAAAAAAAAACCCTGTAATACTTTGCCCGACCCGGGAATCAAACCCGAGACCCTTTGCCCGGTAGTCGCACTTGCCACCACACACTCAGCCACCGAGGCATTGATGGAAAATAGAATCTTCAAATATTTACACATAACCTAATTTAACATGACAGGTATCTGTTGTATGGAGTTAGTAAGTAGATTTTTACAAGAATTAAGTATCTATACAGATAAATGAAATTGAAATGTCGGATTGTGATATTAAAATAACCTTTTTACTACATGCATATGAATACATACGATACACAACACATACCAAGATAATATTTTTGCAATTTTTCTCTGTCTATCTGTTTGTTTGTAATGGTTAATCTCTGGAATGGATGGACCAATTTTGCAAGCCTTCTATTAGCAGGTAGCTGATGTAGTACTAAGAAGTAACATACGCGAACAGAGTCTCGGGCAACAGCTAGTCTTTAAACATTGTATGCTCTGAAGCAGTAGTCGCTAGGTAAATTCTTAAAGAAAAACAATTCCTGTCTATAATATTTTTAAGAGTTCCAAATTCAAAAATCTTACACTGGCAACATCCAACAATACGGTAGTTGACAACTAGTCAAATTCAATACTTTTATCGAAACGTCAAAAACGATACTGTTTTATGAATTTTATGCGAAATACCAACATATGGCGTCATCACATTTTCGCGTCAAATAGCACACTTATATCTAAAAACAATGCTAGAATAAATCGATATATAAATATATCGGCAAATCAATGAATGAAAGTTTAACTATTTTTTAATATTTAATTGAACTGAAAAATCGAAATAATTTCTTTTTGACCCAGGATACTACCCAATTGATTCCATTACTAGGACACGAAAGGACACATAATAATAAACTCTACTTGAATGTAAATCTCTATCAAACCTCAACCTACATAGCAATAATATAATCGTATTATTTACTTCATGTTATCACTAGATCCTGAGCAGTAAAATTAATTATAGACAATGTTGACAGGAGATAAAGACTAAAGAGTAATTTGTTCCTCCCATGAGTTTAGTTCATATTCTTAGTATCTAGTTATAATTCGTTTAAAATGAGTGCTAAAGATTTAAATAATATGAAAAAGAAGTATATAAGTGTGCCTCCTGATGGTGGATGGGGTTTTTTAATTGTTGTGGCTGTGGCTATAAATATTGTGAGTGATAAAGTTTGTTGATCTAATCAATAGTAGAAGATAGTGAGTAAATCTGTGGATCATATGATTCTAAAACAAAGGACAAAGTTTGTTATTAAGATTTGAAGTTTAGTCATCTTTAAAGGCAACTTTAGTGATAAGATTTTATATTTACAAACTGCTTGTACGATTAGCTATTACTTCTACTAATGTGGAAGGCCCAATTACCCCTTCCTCCGTCCTCAATCTCCCCAATCCCTCAAAATCCTAATCCTCAAAAAGCCGGTAACGCACTTGTAACGCCTCTGGTGGTCCAGGAGTCCATGGGCGACGCCAATTACTCACCATCAGGTGATCCGTATGCTCGTTTACCGGTATCAGATAAAAAATGTTATGTTTATTAAAAATATCATATTTCAGTCTCTGCAGATTCATTGCAGAGGTACATGGGGAGACTAATATTGTCATCAAATGCTGATCAAATCTCAGGACCGACAAAAACTACACTAAATTATTTTTATTCATCTATTAGTGTAGGGCCTAGCCTATTCTAGGCCCTAGGAAAATATAAGGTCACCTCAACAACCATGAACTTATTAAGAAACATCATAATAAAAAGTTGTTATAATGTTAGTGCATCCTAATCAAACGTTACTATACCTTTAATAACGTTGTTAATGCAATTATTAATGCAATTATCATTCTCTACATTTCAGTCAACATCGACAGCATTTACATCAAGCTATGAACTTTTGCTAAAAGAATTGCTCAAGGAAATCGGGTCGAGTTCCACAAACACCTCTCTGATGCGAGGTCTAAGTGCAATTTGCATGGCAACTGCAGGTAAATATTTAACCATTTGGAAGCAATGTGAGGTTTTACCTCCGAAAAGTTCGTTTGATAGATTTATAGGGAGATTTAACCATACCTATGAAATCTCTTTACATTTATGGATTAACTTTAGAACTCATGCTCTTCAGAGCCGATTCGAGCATATAGATAGATAACATGACATAAGGTCATTCCTTTGATTTTCGAAACAGTAGACAGAAGTGCATTTACAGAATGTCATACTTATTTTTAATAAACTGTTATGTTCTGAGTCCTATTTTTTTTAACGTTGCCCCACATTAGCATTTTCTCCTGTGTCGTGGGTGCATTTACAAACACATAAGTTCATATAGACATGCCACCCAGACTCGGAATAACAATTTGTGGATCACACAAAGAGTTAGTCGCGCGGGAATCGTTGTTTAGCAAACATAGTAAAATCAATTGTAAAACTAACAACTAGGGTATATTTTTGAGCTAAAAATAATGTTTTGCATTTTCAGGGTTCCTAACAAGACCATTGCTGTACATCATAAGTTTTCGAATGCTGGCGCTGGCTGCAGTGATACTGTTCAACATCGGCGTCCTTTGTATCATGTTTGTTAAGTCTACGTTCACTTTCCACATATGCCATGGTATAATACAGGTAAGATTTATTTTGGTATTGCTTAGTATACCCTCACATCGTACGAATTACGGGAAAAATGCTGTTATGACTCGACTACCTCGCATTTACTCAGAGAAGTTTGAGAGTGTGGATATACTTAATTTGTCAAAGGTATCCTTTCGTAAGTCGCTTATACAAATACTCACTAGTGTGTGACTCTTATAGCATTATTATTTTTCTTAAAAAATTTCCTTGATTGTTTAATTTTATTTTATATTGCTCACTCTCCTGCTTTTACCTGACGCATGCTGAAAAACTCTGTTATTGGCTTAAGATTCCAGGCCTTGTCATTATTATAAATGTAGCATTTACTAAATAAACTGTTGAGTTTTCTGTAGTAAAAAATAAAAAAAAATCAAAATAAAAAAAAAAATAAAAGAAAAAAAAATTTTCATTTAATTTAATCTACAACAAAAACATAACAAATATGTTGCGCAGATCGAGGAAATACTTCAAATGTCTATTACTGCTAATAAGATCACTAACGTAATAATAATTAAAAAGTTATTCATTTAATTGTTAACGCCTGCTATATCAGTCACTGCAATGAGTGAACTTGTAACTCTAGACTACACGCTTAGCCTTTAATGAAATAAATAACGTAACATTACTATCAAATTAGTAGAATTCACTACATTAGTAGAATTTATTTGTGTCAGCTTGGAGTTGTCATTCTCACTCAAAGGTCTCATTGACGGTGGCGCGTGCAGTGGATCGCTCGATTCCCTACAATATGGTTGAGTTGGGCGGTGCTGGTGTACGTGTCATGTTCGTGAACGGGCGCCGTCAATTGGGACTGGTCGGCTCCAGACTGTATTATTGTCCTTAAGGTTATTTTCTTTTTTGATCACTTTGACTGGATTTTAGTGTTACATTGTTCTCGCACAATCCAAACAGCAAAACTATGTAACTAGTAAATTGTATTGTGAACCTGATTGAAAAAGAGTAACCTATGGTGTTTCTTGCTCGTTCTTCTCCAAAGGAATCTACACCTTGGAATGAGCAAATTGCTTTGCAATTCTTTTTTTTTTGTTGACGTTCAAAAGTGCCATTCTGGCCTAGTTGAAATAAATGATTTTGACTTTGACTTTGACTATCTTCGCCCAAATGCACATAACAGAATAAAATGTCCAGTAATAATAAGTCGACTATAAATAATTAAATTCTGGTTCAGTCATACATAATGCCTTGTTTATTTTTTACAATTTCAGGGACTCGGTTTTGGCCTAATTTACAATTTATCATGCACTATACTGGTTGATTATTTCTTGAAGAAGCGACTAATGGCTATTGGTTTGGTTTACAGTGTAGTTGGTAAGTTCATTTTTCTTTAGCCCATAACTATTTATATATGTACCTATTTATTCATTTATACTTTATTGCACACACAGAAAAAAATTTAAACATTGCAATAGTAATTTGAGTACAATCTTATTACACGCGGCGATTTCTTCCAGACAACCTTTAGATGTAATTAAACTATATATGAAACTATATGGTCACTAAGTTGTAAGTACATATGTTGATTTAGTAAACGTAGTCTATACCTAGCTCCCAAAACCCAAGTAAAGTTTTGTGTTTCAGTGTCTACGTATTATATTTGTATCAAAATTTATTAACAAAACACAGTAAATTAGCAAACAAACCCATTTTCGTACAACAAACAGCCAACGAAGAGAATTTCCTCAAACGTTTATTAACAAAATCTATACTTATAATAAATCTGTAGAGATTATAAATGAAAATATGTGAGTTTATGTGTATGTTTGTTACTCAGTCATATTAAAACGACTGAAGGGACCGGAATGAAATTCGGAACAGAAGTAGATTATGGTCTGAAGTGATACATAGGCATTTTACTCCTGGGATCGCGGGCGAAGCCGCTGGCAGAAGCTAGTCGATAATAAAAAAATATCTAAAAAAAAACGTGTTTCCCTAAAGAACTGTTGTCAATAAACATGGACAATGAGCTATAGAAAGTCTAAAAACTCCGTGTTTATTGAGGGCTAACAAAGCACTCTGTCAGATGACGTCACCGAAGCGCCATGCTTCGTGAAAATTGTTGGACATGTCATTCATCAAAATCAACTCTTTGTTAACGCTTTATTCACTGTGTGTGAAGATTTTTAGTCAATTTGGGTTGTGTTTTGATACTATCGTGTTTGTTTTAATTGTCAAATGTCTTTTTTCCTTATGAAGTAGACGTAAAAGTAGTGGTAGAGATACAATACATGCTGACTATTTTAAAAGATTTTTAATAAGACAATACACTTACCATCACGCGTTTTACCCCTGAAGGGGGAGGCTCATTACAGCACTTAATGCCACTGTATAATGTAACACACACTTTTCACTACTTATTTTATGAGTCCCATGTAATAGGGGTGAGTCTAAAGTCTATGCCATATACCAGGCAGAATTCCAGACTTCGTGCTACTACTACGATTTTTTTTAAAACCTAGTAGTACTTTGCCTGACTCGAGACCCCTTGCCTGGCAGTTGCACTTGCAAGTTTGCAACCACTTGGTCAACGAGTCAGACAATACATTCTATAAAATAGCAAATTTTTATCTACTCTTTAGGTACTGTCTCCACTACACAGTATTCAATGATTTAAGAAAGAGATAGTTCACGTCATAAATGTTAGATGGTGTTAATTATAATACCTAACTCAAATTCTCGCGTTCGAAATTCAAAATCATAATGACGAAATTTTGTTCATGGAGAAATAGACGCTGATAATTCTGGCGTTCTACGAGTTTGTCAGTTAATTTAGCACTTTAAATATTTATATCATTGATCTTAAACTGTATTACCAAGAGTCACAATTCATCAGTATTCAGTCAACTCCTTCCATTTGTCTCCACATCACGAGTTATAAATCATGTGAAATTTTCTCGCGCATCGAACCGTTTACAATGATGGTATATAATAAAATTATGTAAAGATTTCCGCTTTCTTGCATTGTCATTTATTGTGGATCATTGTGTTGTCCAATGAACCATGGTTTGCGTATGGAGACATTATGTTCGGTTCACATCTTCTCTCGTCAATTTGATATTACGGTTACGATTTCATGAAATATGAAATGAACATAGTACTTATAGATTATCATATGGTGTAAAGTGTCGCTAGGTTTTATAATACCTACCTTGTTATCGCATTGGGTCTTAAACCTTAACGTTAACTTGTGTGTGTAATAAATAAATAAATACAAAAAGGTCTTTTACTAAATCCTAGAAATGTACACAAACTAATATAAGATCTAAATACTGTTTCATTTATCTTCAAGCCAGCTGGTGTGTCTGTGCCGGATCGTTTAGGTTAGCTAGACAGATGCGGTGGACCATATCCTTTACTTTGATTAATGTTTCTTTCATATGTGGTAGGAGCAACGTAATTTGATGTAACTTAGTATTGTGTGTAGGGTTAGGAGAGGATTAGAAAAGTAGTATTTGATATATATCTTTTATCTTATACTATAGAGGTATAAAGCGAAAGAGTTTGTTTTTTTTTGTTTGTTTGTTTGAACGCACTAATCTCCGTAACTACAAGTCTGATTTGAATAATTAGGATGGCTATAGGCTATAAAACATCACGCTACGACTAATAGGAGCTGCGCAGAGCGTGTGAAACCGCGCGGAAGTAGCTAGCATTGTATATGTTGACGTTTCAAAAGTACCAAACTATGGTTTAATTGAAATAAATGCTTTGAGATTGACTTTATGTCAATGTAAATCTAGTATTTTGAGGGGTGACAAAAATCGTTAACAAAGCTGGGTGTCATGTAAAACAAATGTTTTTTTTTTCATTTCAAATAAGTAGTAAAGAAAAAAAAATTCGAAGTAATAAATACTTCTCCAGATTTTGAATCGGGACATTTAGATCTATTTCTTGTTTGAGTAATGTTTGTTATAGTAATTAACTTAATTGTTTTTTCCCGTTTATTGCAGTTTATTAGTTAGGACCAAAAATATTTGACCGTAAGATAAAAATACCAATTAAAATTAAAATATTATATATTTTATTTCTTTTCAGCGGCAATTACAATGATAGCACCTCTATTTGTAAGATGGTCATTAGATAAATATGGCTTCCGTGATACTATCCTACTGATGTCTGCGTTAACTATGCACAATTTCATAGCAGTTGCTCTGATGCAACCAGTAAAATGGCATATGAAGAGGATTGAAGTTTCTGATAAAAGCAGTGGTAAGTTTGAAAACTTTTATACAAAGCAGTAGCGCCATCTGTTATTGAGAACTTGAATTAAACACGACTCTAAAAATTATAGTGATGTGTTACTCAAAATATCAACAGCAGGTAAACAATCAGAAATAAAGAGAACTTTATTACAAAACAAATATAAAACAATGCCTTTTACCAAAACATCCCTTTATAAGAAGATAATAATAAATCATTATTTAAAAAATGTACTAGTTATAAATTCATGCCATTAAGATTAAAAGTTTTAAAAGCAAGAACTGCTTGTTACAGAAAAGTTATTGCAAGACAAAAAACAAAAAGAAGACTTCTGCACCGTGCCAATTATCAAAGTGACCAACACAGATGGCAATCTGTCCAATCGTAATAATGAAAAATTTTATAAAACTGGAGAAGAAAATGGCGGCATCAAGTAAGATTTAGAATTTTATATAAAAGTACAAACAGTGTAATTAATAAATCGGAAAAATTATATCCAGCGGTCAATGATGTCTTGTAGTTGGTATGATGAAGATGATGAAATAATAAAAACTATCACAACATTGTACTTTTTGTTATATAACGGGGTAAGCAGAAAAAACACGAACGTATGAACGAGAAAGGTAAAATTTTCGGAATTACAGACACAGATTCTTTGGCCAAATTAAAGTTTTGAAACGATAATCTTTAATTACCACACTAAGGGCCGATTTTACCGGGCGTCGGGGATCGCGGGACGATCTCCGGCCACCGTAAGCGCGGGCCTGCGGACGGCGAGCATGGGTGGCTCCCCGTCCGACCAGAAACAGATCCGAGCGTACGGCGCGTCGCGTTCCGCGCGCGCCTCAAAGAGCCATCAGACCACCCCAGATGAAGCCCAATAGGGCCGATGCCGATTCGGAGTCGCGGAGAACCTAACGGCCCTTTACAGTATGTCTTATATTAACAAACAGCTATTTAATTTAATTTTGTTTAACAGTTTCAGAAAAATCAAGGACCTGTTAATTGACAAATCACTGTGTGAGAAGTTCCTAAAATCGTGCGTATGTGCTGGGCCAGCGCTCGCCTTATTTGCTGATACAACATACGCGATCATTTTACCACATGCTCTACTAATAGCTGGGTGGTTGCATGTAAGTAATGTATTAGTATGTTCATAAATGTCGTACCGAAAATCCCCAAGCTCATACAAAAGTAGTCTCTAAACATCGGAAATAAGGTCTATAATGAAGTTAATGGAGAGCGGCCACCGGTGACTGCTTGGGGGTTGAATAGTAGAATTGTCAGAGTCGGACAAAGACTTGGACAAGTGTGAGAGAGCCATGCTTCGGCACGAGTGGGCCGGCTCGACCGGAGTGATACCACGGCCTCACAAAAAACCGACGTGAAGCAATGCGTTGTATTTCGTCGTATGAGTGAGGTTACTGGAGGCCCAATTACCCCCCTCCCCTTCCTCAATCTCTCCAATCCTGAATCCCCAACTATCCTCAAACTCCTAATCCCCAAAAGACCGGTAATGCACTTGTAACACCTCTGGTGTTCCAGGTGTCCATGGGCAGCGCCGATTGCTTACCACCAGGTGATCCGTCTGCTCGATTAACGGCTTATGCCATAAAAAAACTTATCCTACTAATATTATAAGTACGAATGTTTGTTATGTGTGGTTGTATTGTTCTTCATACAAAACTGCTAGAGGCATCGAGATGAAATTTAGAACAGGGGTAGATAGTGGTAGGGTCTGAATACACATACATCATCATCAACAACCTATAAATGCCCACTGCTGAGCAAAGCCTCTTCTCACACGGAGAAGGTTAGAGCATTAATCACCACGCTTGCTCAATGCGGGTTGGCGATTTCAAACTTATAATTAGAAATTATAAGTCCAGGTTTCCTCACGATGTTTTTCCTTCACCGTTTGTCAGTGGTGTCTAAATAATCTTAGAAAGTACATATAACTCGGAAAAAGTCACATTGGTACTTGCCGTTGGTAGGTTTCGAACCCGCACCCTCATGCATGAGAAGTGGGCCTCCGGGCCACCACGACAACACGGCGAATACACATACATAGGTTACATTTATAACACGACGATTATACCACGGGCGACGCCGCTTGCAGAAGCTAGTTAGATCAATAAATATAATTATAATAAGGTAGAGTATGAGGCAGACAAACCGTGAGAATGATAGTTTTTAATATATATGAAAATAATATGATACTATTATCAGTTTTATTATTCATATTTGTTTTTGAGTAACCAGATAGGATTGTCCCAATTTGAATATTAAATTTTTTCAAATGTTATTCTGGTATTTATTCTCTAGTTCATATGATTCTTATCAGAATCAGTTAATTTATCTAGATTTACCGCAGACATATTTTGTTTACATTTGGTTATCTAAATTAAATATTTATTCATTTCATGTCGAGCTTTTGGAAATATTTTTCGAGAATCTACCTACTGACATTAAGATTAAAATATGCATTGCAGTTCTTTGACATTTTAACAGTGATTAAATTTTATAGCCGTTAAAGTTGTAAACGATCCTATATTTTTTATAGTAATAATTTTAAATTTTATTAAACTCGATTGGCCGAGCGGTCAAAGTATTACCTACTGAGTTTTATTAAAAATTTCTTAGTAGTAGCACAGAGTCTGGAATAGTCCTCAGTATATGGTAATATTCCCACCCCTACTACATGGGACTAATAACGTAAAATATTGAAAATTGGGTTTTACACTGTACAGTGGCATGATGTGCTGTAATGTGCACCCCTGTCTACCCCTTCGGGGATAAAAAGTGTGATGTGATGGACAAAAGTTTTGCAATTGTAATTCTCAGTAGAAAACTTTCCCTACCTATAAAGGTAGTTTATTATTTCTTAATTTAAAATATGATTTTGAAATCATGACCTTAATTTCAAATATGATTTTGTAATCATCATCTTAATTTCAAATATGATTTTGATATCATTAATCATAAAATAATTATATAATAAATTAATATCACAACTACAATAAAACCGTTTTACAGGAAGACGTCACACTGACTCAACATCTATACGGATTCGGAGACTTAGCGACACGAGTCCTGTTCACTCTGTTGAGTAATTGGGTGCAGAAGTTGGGCAGCCAGGAACTATACGTCCTCGGAGTTACTCTGGGTTTAATCTCTCGACTTGGTACGTCAAAGGCTTGTTTGTATACAAATTGAATGAAAGTTAAGCAAGACAGAGTGATATAACTAGTCTGGGATACATTTTGTAATACGTTTGTGTAAGAAAATTCACTGGCTAATGATAGATTTTTGGTTTTCTTACATGAAGTGATGACTTATTTTACTAATTTTTGAAATAATATATTCAGCCAAACCATGCCTACCCCATAGGAGACAGGCGTGAGATTATGTATATATGTAAAAGCAGCCAAACAGCAGCCTATATTTTGTTTATTTAAAAAAATCTATCTTGAATTTTGGTCTGAAATTTGATCGAATATTGGTAAATCCGTATAGCTAGGAGACATGATTAATGAAGTACACGACGTATGATTGCATGCTTAAATACTATAAATAGCATTAGGAGTGTGTAGTCTGTAAGTGAACAAAGTCACGATGGCTACCAAGTTAACCGTTACTGTCAAATTTCTTTATAACATCTTCAACTTTATTGTACTCTCACAAAGTCGAAAATTCAATAAATATATTTGACATAATATTGCAGTAGGTTGATCTGCTATAACTACATCAGAACAGAGGGCTTAGCGCGAGTTGGTTTTACGTTTGAAGTAATCGAAACGAGACCGCGTTTGGCGCTCTGATTGGTGGGTTCATTGCGGCCGGCCAATGGGAGCGCTGAACGCGGTCTCACGTGTACTAAGGCCCCAGATTACCAAAAATATAAGTCAGATTTAAGTCCAATTCTATTGAATCTCTCGTTTGCTAGTTCTAAATTTTTGTTGAAATGATAAACTCATGGCTGTCTAACGTGTTTATGCATGTGCATACAATGCAATATGACTACCACATTGCACGTAGCATGTTCCAGACTATTTACTATTGTACAGATAACCCTATCTACATCACGTTTTAATTTATTTAATTAGTTTATCAAATTGAATCAATATTGATTTCAAAACAAGTTCTGTATTCTTACAGGATTTGGTTTGTTTTAACAAAACTAATTTGTAATGAATACAAACTTCGTTGTACTTGTAATCAATAGATATAGTAATATTATAATCTTATAATTTCTATAAAATTATAGGACTTGTTGTACTGGACTTGTAAATTGTTGCACGTGAGATACACGTGTTGCTTGCAAATCAACTGTATCTATAAACTGTTAAACAATTAATAAAAATGAAAGTATTTTTTAACATCTCAAATTAATTTTATGACAAGGGCACGGACTTAGAGCCCGTGGAGAATTAATCTATAATATTATAAAAAAAATCTCATTTTACTCGCGGTACCTATATTTTTAACACTATAATTTTTAAACAACCTAAATAAAAATTTGCCACATTTGCCACAAACATATCTTATTTACACATAGAACAAATATGTGCATAATACCTAACTTCAATAAAAAAAAAAACTTAAATAGCACAATTATATTATTAGAGGTATATACCTTAAACTTAAAATTAACTACAACTAAAATAATAAAAAAAATGTACCCTCAATTTAGCGTCAAAGAACTCGTCCGCATCACTGTCATTGGGCAACGTTCCCAGAAGACTGGCAGCATTGCCACATTGAATGGAGTATAGGTACCTAACTTATGATTTTTTACTTCCAAAAGGTACATTATGGTCCAAGAGCTTTATAGCGAAGATGGTCTACATTCCCCTGGTGGGTGCCTCCCACTGTGCTGTGACTATCCTCATACCATTGCTGGTGGCAGATGTTGTGAGGCCTGACAGGTTCACGTCAGCTCTGGGTATGCTGATGATGGTGACAGGCCTGGTCAGCGTGGTATTGGGACCTGCTATTAGTAAGTAGCTTATCATCAATCGTACATTCTTCATTCTAATATTAGAATTGTGAAAGTTTCTTTGATTGGATGTTTGGATGTTTATCCGTCGATTACACTGAAACTACTGAACGGATTTTCATGAGGCTGGGTATGGGCTGACTTAGGTGATAGGATACTTTTTATCCCGAGTAAATGCTCCCATAAGATAAAACAGGAATCATATTCTACGTGGATGAAGTCCCAAGCCACAGCTAGTGATTCTATAAAGAGAAAAATATATACTTCACATTATAATAGATTTCGTAAATTCGACTGCCTCGCTGACCGAGTTCGCTTCCCGGGTCGGGCAAAGTATTACTGAGTTTTTTTAAATGTCAGTTGTAGCACAGAGTCTGAAATTGTGCCCGGTATATGGCAATAGGCTCCCACCAATCACATAGGATTCATAACTTAAATAGTGAAAAGTGGGTGTTACATATTGTACAGTGGCATTAACTGCCGTAATGTGCACCTCTGATTACCCCTTCGCGGATGAAATGCGTGATGTTATGTTATGTTCGTAATATTAATTTAATCCTAAAATACATAGTAAATAAACAAATAAACCGTTTTCGAACATTACGTTTCGTGCATATTTGCGAATCGACGATTTTTGATCATTTTTGAGCACGCTCAATAGGACGCCGTTTTGCAGACTATTTTAGAGGATAATTTATTTATTTATTATTACCTATTCAACAAAGATAACAGTGAATGACGGACTTAATGCCTATAGGCATTCTCTGACAGTCAACCATAGGGGAGTGCAGAGAAATGAAGCGGTTGATGCGAAGCCAGAACACAATAAAAAAAATAAGATATTGTAACAGTACCTTAAATAAAATACAAGAACCGTTCTTACTATAATCATTCTTATCTTCCTAGGTGCAGTCCGAGAGCTATCAGAGAGTTACGGACCAGTTTTCTACCTCATTGCGTCCTGTTTAGCCATTATAGTCCTGTTCTGGTCAATAGAACTCTGCTACAAGAGGAACAAACACAAGAGATTACAACGACGAGAATATCTACGACAAAAGAAATTAAATAAATAAACAAAATTTTGATATAATTTATTGGTTTTTATTTACGTTATTTTAAAACTAGTGGCCTTTTCTAGATTTGTTTATGTGATATTTATCTAAAGTATTCGATAATTTATTTAAATACCTAATGAGATGAGATCGTATATAAATTGATAAAATCGTATCTAAAATTATAGAGGTAGGTCCCTGAGATAACTTTGTCAGTAACTTCTACTTATTTGAAAACCGAGATTAATATAAGAGATGAAATAAAATACAGTTAAGCCAACACCTAAAAAAATACTTTTATGGAACATTTTGTATTAACTAAAAATGGCGGGTTACCCACGTATAATATACTGAGAAAAGCTCTACTAGTTTCGAGTCACAGAGGGACTCTTCCCCATGAGCAGCGTACGCGAGAGCGACGATGTCGCGTAGCCTACTGTGACTCGAAACTAGTAGAGCTTTTCTCAGTATATTCACATGAGTACCACATAACCGTTACTAAAATTACGTTAATAAAAAAATATGTATTATTATTAAAAAAATATATTAAAAAAAACAACGACATCGCCGCGACCGCGCACTCTGCTCATGACGAAGAACTCCTCTGTGGTTCGAAACTAGTAGAGCTTTTCTCAGTATATTCACGTGAGTAACCCGCGATTTTTAGTTACAAAATATGTTAATAAAAAAAATACGTTAATAAAAACAATATTTCTAATTCGCCAACGTGACGGTTCAAATATTATGCTGACGTATTAATGTTAAGCCATGTATAATACTGATTAAATATTGCATTCTTAATTACGAAACGTTGTGTAATAAAATATACGTTACGTAAAGATCACAGACTACGTGAGATGAATTTATGACAATGACTTATAATTAATTATTCATCTTATCATCATTACGTCACGGATTTTAAAGAAGATAGGCCTCTGTCTAGCTTCTTTAAAATATGCACAAATATAACACTTCACCAATTGTACAAATTAAATTCCAATATAAATAAATATTCTTGTTTAGTCCTCAAAAAACTAATTTCCATTATCATTATCTATATAAATATAAAAATGAAACCCGTTACCCGTTGTCTCGCCATAAATTGAGAACGGCTAGACAAAATTCCTGAAAATCCTACGGGGACATTAGAAAACGGGATTGCGAAGTCGAAGGCAGAAGCTAGTTCATAATAAATGACGTACTTATGCCATAAAAAAATTAATTAAATTAGGATAATGCGTCGGATAATGAATTACGCGGAAAAGTGTGTTACGTTATGTATATCCACTTCTGTCACCAAGAACTTTAGTTTGTTTTTTAATCAAGCACGATCATGCTACGTCATCGTATTTTTGAGGAATAAACTGCATGATTTTGTTCAATTTCACACATCACAAGTCATTATTTTTTCACGTCTGATACCTGGTGTAAAATGACAAATTGTTTTAACTATGCGCAGACCGCAGAAGTAATTACTCATCATTTATTCGTCTACTTTTATTTTTGTGCACATACAGCGTGTTGCTTTTTGGCTTTTCGTAATTATTAATTAATAATTCATTTTACATTAAAGTGGATTTTAGCGTATTGTAACTTTAACAAATTGGAATTAACTTTGAATACTAGCTGACATAAACATCTCAACAACTTACTTTATTATTTGTTTAATTTTTCCCTGTTTTTCTCCCGATAATTTGTAAAGCAAGCAAGTGACCCCAACATTATTTTGGTAAGAACTTTTTTTATATCATTATTATGGCTAGAAAGAAGTTTTTAGTAAATAAAACTTGCCCCAATTGTGGTTGACTTTCGGTCTATTACTTAATAGTATTGTAATAGCAATTAATTAGAGCGACTGATAAAGAACTATTTAACGCTTTTAACAAGACTTATCATTAATGACACATTCCTTTTCACTCTAATTTTTAGACACGCTGTTAATGAATAAACTACATTGGTTAGTGTGACTGGCAGATCCATAGCTAAATTATCTTATCATAGAACAAAACCATTTATTATAAGTAACTAATTAACGTACAAATAAGATATAGTATGCAAATACTTTTATGAATAAAACCAGTGGCAAATCATATGGGAATGTTTGTCATATGTGGTGAATACTGAAACTACAATGTCGAAAGAAAAAAAGGAAGGTTCCAATTTGATGGGGAAGAAATATAAACTGGTGCCCCCCGATGGGGGATGGGGATATTTAGTAGCAGTATCGGCGATTATCAGTTTTGTGAGTAGTTTTGTTTTGTGGTGATTATTTTTAACGTTGGTTTTAAGTCTACAAGTGTTACGGAAGAGATGTCTCTGGTTGATGACACAATTTCAAGAAGTTCAAGATCAAGTTCATGTTTGTTTCTATTTTGCTTTAGCAGTATCGGTGTTTATCAGTTTTGTGAGTAATTTTGTTTTGATGTGGTGGTGGTTTTGTTTTGATGTGGTGATTATTTTTTTAATAATTTTAAGGTCTGAAAGAATTAAAAATGATATATTTAATGCATTTCTGCTAGCCATAGGAATACTTCAAGATCGTTTCTGATAGAACAGTTCTAGATCAAGTTCATGGTTGTTTTCATTTCGCCTTATCGTTCATTATCTTCAATGCTCCATGATTTGTTAAGTAATGAACTGTGATAAAATGACGTGCAAAGTTTGAATTCGATAATTCGAAAAAGCAATTTGAAATTTTTTGTATTTTATTTTATTTTGCTTCATCGGTACCTGTATGATGTACCGATATTGATAGATAGAGATAGATAGATATATTTTACACTAGCTTCTGCCAGCGGCTTCGCCCGCGATCCCAGGGGTAAATTGCTTATGTATTACTTCAGACTATAATCTACCTCTGTTCCGAATTTCATTCCGGTCCCTTCAGTCGTTTTAATATGACTGAGTAACAAACATACACATAAACTCACATATTTTCATTTATAATATCGAGTCAAGCGAATTTCAACCATTGGCCTTTCAGTTACAGCGTAAAGTCTATGAATGAGTATTGTAAACGTTAGAGTAGACAAATACAATCAGAAATCACCGAATTGCTAAGCTATCGGCAGTTTCACGTGTTATTGTGAGTCAACCATAAAAGATAGACATATGCTGTCGAGGAATATTTTTTATATAATTTTAAGGAGAATATTTAGCTTTAACCTATAAGCCTGCACACGCGACGGCAGCTTAAAAAATGGAGTAACTTCTCCCGTTTTCCCAATATTTCCCTTCACTGCTCTGCTCCTATTGATCGTAGCGTAATGAAAAGTATACTATAACCTGCCCAAGAGTAAGAAGAATAAATGTGCCAAATTTCGTTAAAATCCGTCGAGTAGTTTTTGTTTCCATAACGAACATACAGACAGACAGACAGACAGACAAATATTTTACTGATTGCATTTTTGGCATCAGTGGCGATCCCTAACCACCCCTTGATAGTTATTTTTTAAATATATTTTATGTACAGAATTGACCTCTCTACAGATTTATTATAAGTATAGATAATACCTTTAAACGAGCAATTCTTATATATGTATCAACGATCTTGGAAACGGCTCTAAAGATTTTTATGGCTTTAAACATCACGACTTTTGTCCCTGAAGGGGTGTGCAGGTGCATATTAGAGCACTTAATACCACTGTACAATGCAACACTCACTTTTCACTATTTATGTTAAGGGTCCCATGTAATAGGGGGTGAGCCTATTAAGATTTTTATGATATTTCGCATTTGGAGAGTTTCGGTGGCAATAAAAATATCTGGCTAGGTTTCTTTTCAAGAAAATGTAGGTTATCCAGATACTTTTTATTAAATTACAAACTTTGTTATACTACCTATCTACGAGTAGCAACATATATTGTTACCTATTACGATGTTTTTTTTTTATTTAATATTATTTTGCAAAAAGGAACCACAATTTTGCCATCATTTCTTATGACCCGTTACAATCCATGGGGATAAATAAAAAGATATATGTTCCATATTTTGTCCGTTGTTTCGTATGATACAACAGATATATTTTGGTATATATTAAATCTTAACTTCTGAGAGATGGACCGATAGACATTGATAGCGTTTTGTGATAATTTACATTGATAATAATGTATTATTATTTTACCTACTGATTGAGTTTTAAATATGTTTATAATATTATTATATTATTTTAAAATATTACTATTTTAAAAATGTATGACTGCACGGTTGGCGCGGTTCTACCGCGCAACGTGTAACACCTCGATTCCCACACGAAGCAACTCTTTGTGTTGTGTGATCCAAAAATGGTTGTTTGGGTCTGGGTGTCATGTGTATGCGAACTTGTATGTTTGTACACGCACCCGCGACACAGGAGTAAATCCTAGTGTGGGGCAACGACTTTTAAAGAAAGACAAATAAAGAAAAAATAATGATAAAGGTAAGTGTCTCGGATTACAAAAATAAAAAAATTAATAAATGTGGAAAATTAAGACGGACAATCCAAGGTACGAATTGCCTCACAGAAAAATATTAGGTACCATGGGACAACCAAAACGTGAGGAGGAGTCCCTGAAAAAGATGACGTTAAACAATTTTCGACTTGATCATCAATACATTCTTGATGCAATCATGACCGTCTACAAGGTGGCTCATAAGATTGTTGCTTCTCATAGTACATAGTATTTCTATTAGGCACAGAGGCATGCAAACAACAAATATAAAATAATACCTGTAACAGTTACACCATATTTTATCGGAACATGTCTACCAAAAACTGCTCTTACATAAAAAATAATGTATTGTTTGCGTCAAGATTCCGTAAAATAAATACGTTTTTGCATACGTAATGTCGGCAATATCCATTCTTGTTAAAAAGATAAAAATTATAAGACAAATAATCTTAATTAAGTCTTCATTTAACTTGAGTAGGCTGTAGTATTACAACTGACATTTTGTTATCGCATTTAAAATTATTTATTTTAGTATTGTTAGTGTAAAGTATTTAAGTATTTGTTGCGCATTGGTTATGTCATATTTTGAATGCTTGAATTTTGAAGTCTTTCAATGGAAAGACCATGTTTTTTGGATATTTGTATTACTTTTTCCTCATAACATCACATCAACAGATTAATAAACAAGATTGCTCAATGCGGATTGGCAAATTTCAAACTTATAATTACAGATTACAAGCCCAGGTTTCCTTACGATGTCCTTAAGTTCTAAATAATCTTAACTACATAAATATACCGAGGAAAAAGGCACATTGGTACATGCCGTTTCAAAATCGCGCCTTCACGAGAAGCCGCCGTCTTAATGTAACTTTTTAAGCCGGTGATGTACAAAAATCATTTAAGTATATGAACAATTAATGTAAATCAATTTGTTAGGACTATGTTCTTAATATAATAATGTTATTTTATTACCCATTTCGGGACTCCCCTTTTCCGTGAACCAGTGTCATTGTATTTTACTTATCTTTACACGAATTCTCTTCTAAATAAAATAAACATCCAAAATAACACAATAGAAACTATATTTATTTTGATAACCCTTTTTACGGTTCCTTAAGTTCAAGGGAAAAGTAACCCTAAAAGGTTCGTTGTTACAGTTACACTATTCAATCTGTCTTCTGTCTGTCCGTCAAGATCTTTCTATCTCTACAGATGATAGGGGTGTATCTAGTAGATTTTTTTGCGAGTATAAGACGTAAACTTCCATGTAAATGTATTATATTATATAAAATGTCAAACTTATTGTTTTACAACTAAAAAAACTCTATCATGCTGAAAATAATTCACTAAAACTTGTAGGTACGTACAGCTACCACAAAATTGATCTTCTAATTCTAATTCTAAATAATATTAGATATTATTTTTTATATGAAACTAATAATTTTCCTTGTCACAATTTCAGTCAACCACCACGGCGTTTGCTGGCTGTTTCGGAATGATGTACGATGACTTTATGAATGAAGTATCATTAAATTCAGCCAGTGTCACACTGCTACTGGGTATATTCTGCGTAGCTGTTGCATTCGCTGGTAATTATACGTTAAACTACTTAATTCAGATAAATTATATACTAAAGTCAATTGAATAAAAACCAAGGGAAAACGCTGCATACAATTTTTAACTTTTTGAAGGGTAACACCACTGTAAGCTTATTACGAGTTTGTTTTAGTTTAATGTAATCAAAACGAAACCGCGCTCACTACTCTAATTGGTTTGTTCACTCGCGCTGGCCAATAAGAGCGCCGAACGCGGTCTCATTTTGATTACTTGTTGCCCTCTGTAAGTCCTCTAGTATTGCAAGTCTATACATGACACGAATCACCTACTTAGGCTGTTCGTTCCCAATCTTGAAGACAAACTTTCTCTTGTCGCTGAACCCTTTGACTGCCAACAGAAAACAGTTGAAGGCAGAGAATTTGAACTAACGTTTATCACCGGTGATCTACACAGCGGTTACCGTGTTAAGAATAATTTAAAATTGAAAAACTTATTGACAATTTTCAAATGAAAACGGCATTTCCTTCCTTAACCGTCGCCTTTATAAATAAACAATCTGCCACAATGTTATTAAACTAGGTCAATTAAATTGATTCCAGGTTTCTTCACATCGGCCTTGCTGAACATAATGTCGATGCGTATGCTCGCCTTCATCTCCTCAGTCATATTTGCATGTGGAACGCTAGGTACTGTCATAATGACCACACCATTCATGTTCTTCCTCACTGCAGGAGTGTTTCAGGTAAATAATTAAAATTTGAATGTATGACGTCATTTATTTCTTAGATTTATCGATGGTAGAGCTTTATGGAATGAATTCATATGTACGGTCAAAGTTCAAAAATCCTATCGGTTGCGCTGCAGCGCTTATACACACACGCACACGCATATTTTTATCCGTGTGCGTACGCGTGCGTGTGTTTATGCGTACACACGTTTTTATGCACATTAATATGAAATTACTTACGCATTGTCGTGTGAACATCACTCACGGTGGCAGTGCACTTTTGACCTCTGACTGTACATAGTGTACATGCATAACTTCATGTCTCCAAGATAGATCATAGAGGATAGGAGGAGATACAATTCTTAAATATCTCTTTCGCTTCATTAATAGCCATCAGTCTTTTCATACATGCTCGTCGGTCAAGGGTATTTTTAATTTGACCCATCTTCTCACAGAATATCATCGTAAATCGTCAATAAATATTATCATTTTGGCTATAATGTTAAATTGGGCATGATACACAACTAGTTGCTATGTTGTTGGTATAGACGTATTACAGAGTTTTGGCCGTTAGAGTAACTACGAATTTCTAATCTTTTTCTTGTTCTAATTTTTTACTTAATTTTCTTGTAATAGGTATATAAATTATTATCTGTTTTTAAACAATCGTTTGCTTTAATTAGATGTATAAAATATCCTGGGATTTTTTTATGGAGATTTATACATGAAATTAGAGATATGAATTCTCAGTTGTTTTTATTTAAATTACAGGGCATGGGTTTGGGCGTAATGTACAACTTGTCCTGCACAATAGTAAATGAGTACTTCACTGAAAAACGAGTATTAGTGATGAGCTTCGTGCAAACTGCGACGGGTAAGGTTTGGAGTAACTAACTTTATAATTAACTTATTCTGGAATACTGAAACGTTACTCAATTTTAAGTCGTGCTCAAATATCGTGCCGTCTCTGTCATTTTACAAAGGATTTGTAGAGATAGAACTATACTTAAGCACGACTTAAAATTGAGTAGCGTTTCAGTATTCCGACATTAAAGGTTTAGATTTACGTGCACAACGGTCGTTCTTATCCATGCGAATCTAAATTTTTAGAATAAGCTTCTAGTTTCACTAACGAACAGATAGATGGAAAATTACTACTATTTAAAAGATTCAAAGTGCTTACGTATGGTTTAAAAAATAAATGACTGTCGATGACTCTGCTCTGCCTTGTTGGCAGAGTGGTCGCAAGTGCGATTGCCAGGCAAGGGGTCTCGGGTTTGATTCCCGGGTCGGGCAAAGTATTACTGGGTTTTTAAAAAATCTCAGTAGTAGCACGGAGTCTGGAATTGTGCCCGGTATATGGCAATAGGCTCACCAACTATTACATGGGACTCATAACATAAATAGTGAAATGTGGGTGTTACTTCTGTGTGCACCTCTGCCTACCCCTTCGTGATAAAAGGCATGACGTTATGTTATTTTATGACTGTCAATCATTTTCTTGACATTGTCTATTTTCTATCACAGGAGTCAATGCTATGGTGGCGCCAATATTCGTGAAATGGTCACTTGAAACCTTTGGATCGAAAGGAACTCTATTGCTTATTGGTGGCATATCGTTGAACAATTTCGTAGCTGTGATGCTGATGCAACCAGTTCAATGGCACATGAAGAAAGTGCCAATTGAAGTCAATGAAAAGACTGAACTTAGTAAGTTACAAAATAAAAGTTTTTATGTATGATTTATCAGAGGGTACTGCATGGTGCAGTGGGTTCAATATTTAGTCCCTTAGTTGACTCTTGTGGCATTCGCATCTCGAATAGATATCACAATTTTTTTCTTCATCGCCGTCACCATACGGTTTCTTTTGAAGTTTTACAATTTTTGATTTTAAAGTATTTCTGGTTTTACTGCAATCTATTACTGCTGCCTCGTTGGCCGAGTGGTCGCAAGTGCGACTGCTGGGCAAGGGTCTTGGGTTCGATTCCCTGGTCGGGCAATGTATTACTGGGTTTTAAAAAATCTTAGTAGTAGCACGGAGTCTGGAATCGTGCCCGGTATATGGCAATAGGCTCACCCCTATTACATGGGACGATAACATAAATAGTGAAATGTGGGTGTTACATTGTACAGTGGTATTAAGTGCTGTAATGTGCACTTTTGCTTCCCCTTACGGGAATAAAAGGCGTGATATTATGCAATCTATTATACTCTTACCTTAATTTTAGCTTCATTCCAAGGCCTAGCCTATACAAACAATATTTATTTACACCAAACACAAATTGATTTTCAGAGAACCTTCTAGAAATAGAAGAGAACAAAGAAGACAGAGCAGAAACGCCAATTCTGAAGCTATCAGATCTATCAGATTTAGAAGGCACTACCACGAAAGAAACTTTGGAAAAGTACTTCGAAATACCAGAGAAAAAGAAAAGTGGTATCAGGTATTTACTGCATAGAATATTTCGTCGAAAACTTCATTCACCAAATATAAACAATATAAATAACCTCTCACTGCTTCTGATACAAAAGATCCCATGTCTATTTTAATATAATTATGAGAATGAAAACCACTAACTGGGTTTTATCATGTTTAATGCATTTTTAGTATCACAAAACTCTATACTTTTTGATTACAGGAAAATAATAGAATCAATGATAGACACTTCTTTGATCAAGACATTTTTGCTTTCTTGTACATCGGTGGGACCTGCCACATGCTCTACAGCTGATGGTATCTACATCGTCATGGTACCACAGTACTTATACTCAATGGGATGGAGCCAAGTAAGTTATCATTTAAAATGAACTTTGAATAAGTGTAATAATACGGTTTGTATTATCTTATCTGAAAAATTTACTACAAATAAAGGTAGGAACACAAAAACCAAATCAGACGATGTGTCTGATCCTAAAGGTTAGGTTAGGATTACGATTGTAAAAACTTCTTGGTAAGGATAGTAAGATTATTAGCACAAGACAGACAGTAGTTCTTACGAATAAAATAGGGTTTAAATTGAATTTGATAAGAAAAATATGACTCCAGACTGTTTGAAAAAAAAACAGTAGGAACATTGTACTTAATTCTTATGTTAACTATTTGTTTTTTTTATACTCTCAGGAAAACGTCGCAATGGCGATTACTTTATACGGTTTTGGTGATCTGGCAACAAGAGTTTTATTCACCGTCGTCTCAAAATGGATGTACAAACTGGGTATTCAGAACATTTACGTTTTCGGTGTAGCTATAGCAGCCTTGTCGAGAATTGGTAAGAACATTAATTTACTTTTCAAAATATTAAGCAAATATTAGTCATGACAACATAAAGTTTTAAATTCAGAACTAAATTGTATTGTAATAAATTAGCTTAAAATGACCCACGTAAATATACTGAGAAATACTGCTACTGTCTGCGTGACGTCACCGCGTCCATGCACGCTGCACTTGGATAAGTGTCCCTCTGTTTCTTGAAATAGGTAGAGCTTTTGTCAGTATATTTACGTAAGTAAACCGTCATTTTAGGGAATTCAGTATGTATCATGATAATTTTTATAATAAATGTATCGTAACAGTTGTAAATGCTTTAAAGTAAATTAGTTATTAAACAAAAATGTTGATGAATTGAGTTGATGTCATGTATTTTTTTTATTTTTAATAGTCAACTCGTGTAAATATTCAACTCATGAAAGTTTTCGTTTATAACGGTTTTATAGTAAAAGTGCGATTTGTAGATTAATCCAAATCAAATATCCAAATTAAACCTGTGTGTATACCTATGTTTAAGAATCAAAGTATAGTACTTTATCTGGGTATATTAATTTAAACAAATCCAATTATTTCCAGGTATGCTTTGGTCCAACAGCACGATAGTGATATTAATCTACTTCACCTTAATGGGAGTAGCACATTGTTCTATCGCCGTCCTGATGCCATTGGTTGTCTCTGATGCTGTAGCTCCTGAAAAATTCACATCAGCTATGGGCTTCCTTCAACTTCTCTTTGGAGTAATGAGCATGGCTATCGGACCAGTTGTCGGTACGTTTTTATACTAAAATACACTTTTACAGTATTACTACCTTCTGCAAACGGCTTTGCATGCATTCCCGTGGCTTGAAAAGTAGCCTATGTGTTATTCCATACTATAACATACGTCTGTTTCAAATTGTATTTCGATCCATTCAGCTAAGTAAATGGCGCAAAGGGACTACAGTCCCTTTTTAGCACAGTGTTGGTGGGCTTTTGTGAAGTGATTGAAATAGATAAATTTGATTTAGTTACGATTCATGATAACAGGTTAAAACTGGATATCGCAAAATTTTATGGAAAATGCCTTGAGCTAAAACAAGAGTTCCTAACCTGATGCGAAGAAAAATACTATTGTTATCATAAATGCGAATGTTTGTGTGTTACTTTTTCACGTCAAAAAGTTTGATTGAATCTGGATGAAAGGAACAGGTGTAGGTTATAGTATGGAATAACATATAGGCTACTTTATAAGCCACGAGAACGCGGGCGAAGCCGCTGGCAGAAGCGAATAATGCTATAAAAGTGTATCGATATACCGATACGACCTGCAGACCTTCAAGTAAAGAGAGTATTTCTTTTTAAAAGGCCGGTAACGCTCTTGTGACGCCTCTGGTGTTGCGAGTGTCAATGAGTAGCGCTGATCGCTTACCACCAGGTGATCAATCAGCTCGATTGCCTAATATTCAATTTTTAAAAAACCATAGAAAAATACGTACCAATAGCGAGTCCAATACCAATTGCTCAATGCTCCAGAGAGAAGTAGAAGGTAACCCATAGCTGATGTGAACTTTTCAGGAGTTACAGCATCAGAGACAACCAATGGCATCAGCACGGCGATGGAACAATGTGCTGGTCCCAAATATAGTAGACTAATATCACCATCGTGCTGTTAAACCAGAGCATACCTGGAAATAATTGGATTTGTTTAAATTAATATACACAGATAATATACTACACTTTAATTCTTAAACATATAGGTCTGCTCACAGGTTTAATTCTTCGAAAAATCTACCATGGTCCATACATTTATTTAAGAACTTTGAAATAGTTGATTCAGGTACCTAAATATACTCAATTCGTGAAAATTTTCGTTTAACACGTTCGAGGACGCTACCACTTGAGTCGGGTTTTCAGAATGACACAGTAAATGTCTATACAAAATTATACGACGTATCAGTACGTAGTTTCCTATGAAAAAATAATGTTTTAAACATATCATGACACAACCGTTTTATCACGTCAACGTGTATACGCATCTTGGTTAGAATCCACCTCGTTGGAGGTGTAGGAATCATCAAACATGTTTATCTTGTGTCCTATTTTGCGCTTATATCCATCTAAAAACACACAATAACCCATTAAACATCTATTTCACTCTGTAAAATCATTAATTTGCATTAAAGTAATATACACAGTGACACAGCCGCGCTGAATATAGGAGTGCGGGACGTATAAACACGTTGTGCATATGTGAATACCGTAACCGCACACTATCAACGACACTTATTTGAAATAGTTCTAAACTTACCCTACGTGACAGTACAGTGTTGGGTATTTTATATGTTGTGACACAAGATACATTCAAAAGGATTTTTACTTGAACTTTCACCGGAAATGAACGTTCTGCCGTATAATTTAAATGTTATTTGAACGTCATCGTACGTTGTGCCATATTAAAATCTCGAACGATAACGTATAATCTCGTTTTGTCCTCGAACGTGTTAACAACGGTTTTATTGTAGATTTATAAGTTGCGATTTGTAGATTTATCAGAGAATTAAACCTGTGAGCAGATCTATGTTTAAGAATCAAAATATAGCACTTTATCTGTGTATATTTATTTAAATAAATATAATTATTTCCAGGTATGCTTTGTTCGAACAGCACAATGATGATATTAATCTACTTCACTTTAATGGGAGTAGCTCATTGTTCCATTGCCGTGCTGTTACCTCTGGTCGTCTCTGATGCTGTAGCTCCTGAGAAGTTCACATCAGCTATGGGTTTCCTTCTACTTCTCTCTGGAGCATTGAGCATGGGTATTGGACCCGCTATTGGTACGTATTTTTACTATGGTTTTTTTCTAATAAAATAGGTGGCAAACGAACTGATTGATCACATGAAGGTAAGTGATCAGCGCCGCTCATTGACACCCGTAACACAAGAGGAGGCACAGGTGCTCTGCCGGCCTTTTAAAAAGGAATACGCTCTTTTCTTGAAGGTTTGAAGTTCGTATCGGTATATCGATACACTAATAGAGTATTGCTACCTTCTGCCAACGGCTTTGCACGCGTTCCCGTGGCTTAAAAGGTAGCCTATGTCTATGTGCATGCTATGACCTACGTCTGTTCCAAATTTCATATTTATCCATTCAGCCGTTTTGACTTAAAGGAGAAACACAATAACAAAAAAACACAAACTTTCGTATTTAGGACATTTATAATAATATGATTTTTCTTTGTATCAGTTTATTAAGTCTTGTTTTAACTCAAGACATTTTCCATAAAATATTTCGATGTCCAGTTTTAATCTGTTATGATTGCTCAATTACTTAAATAAAATTATTAATTTTATCTAAATCAATCACTTCACAAAAGACCACCAACACTAAAGTTAAACATATACCTACCTACCTTTCAATAAATAACAACATTTAACATTAAAAACACATAACTGTCAAAATTTGATTTAAAACAACTTGGATTATAACGACTATGACATAATAAATTTAAACTACTGGCTGTGACGATACCCATAAACTTTAACTAACATCATTAACATCATCGAAACCGATTAGTGTCAATATATTGATTTGTTAACATTGGTTTGTTAACTATACATTTTCTGCCCGCAACTTCGCCCGCATAGAATGTTCCCTTGAACAGAATTGTGTTTAGTTCTATTTTCAAACCAAACTAAGCCCTTCATGTTGCCCAGGTCTAGTAAGTAGCTTTACCAGTCTCTATTAGCAATAACAATAAAAAAGTCACATTAAAAATTCATCAATTATTTACCGGGGTTAGCTTGTGCAAACAGATAAACTTAAAAACAGATTCTTTTCTTTAATTTTTTCTCAATTTTTTTTTTGTTTTATTGTAAAATATGTAATGTGCGGACAGACTTTTTATTGGACTATAGGGATGACAACAGGGTATGAAAATAAAAAATCTAATTAATCCGTCAAAAAGGAAATTATAAAATATATTACACACGTATTTTTATATTTTGTCGTATAAGAAAACAATACTTAGATAAAACGAATCAAAGTTTAGGAGTGGGAGTCAGCTACGTCATTTTAGAGTATAAATCATACTCAAAAGTTAGTGACGTGATCAATACATCTTCGAAACTATTCGTTTCCGTAAGAAAATAAAAAATACGTGTCTAATGTTTTTAAATAATCTACCAAACGGACATTAAAATAAATATTAGTCAGTATATTTATATTTACTATATATCCACTTCATACGACATACAACTTATAGCTATGATTGTTTTTACAGGCGCCATTCGTGACATCACAAATAGCTACGCGTCAGCATTTTACACTTTGATCTCATTGTACGGAATCGTCTGTGTTTTATGGCCGATAGAAATGCTTATAAAGAGGAGAAAACAAAGAAGAAAAGTTGATAAAGAAGATTATGAATCTAGTCAATTAAAGAAAGAATTAAAATGAATATTTTATGCTTTTAATTTATTCCTAACGTGTGTGTGATTAATATTGATCTACAAATGGTTATAATTTTTTAATGTCCTACTTTTTGAGTGTGGACATTCTCATTCTCATTAAGTGTCGTGGTGGCCTGGAGGTTTAAGACGCCCGACTCTCACGCATGAGGGTGCGGGTTCGAAACCTACCAACGGTAAATACCAATGTGACATTTTTTAAGTTATATGTGTCTAAGATTATCTAGACACCACAGACATTGTGAGGAAACCTAGGCTTAAAATTACTAATTATAAGTTTGTAATCGCCAACTCGCATTGAGCAAGCGTAGTGATTAATACTTCTCCGTGTGAGAAGAGACTTTAGTCAGCAGTGGGCATTTATAAGCTGTTGATGATGTTGATGATGATTTTCAATGATACCAATCTACTTTTTGTCTAAACGATCACTACATCAGACAACGGGTTGTGTACCCGTCCTTACTAAAATGTACTTACATACATACATAACCTAACGCCTGTAGGTCTCCCATGGGGGCAAGCAGATACCACGGGACGCTAATTGCTACGTTTTTTCGCTTCATCAAGAATCGACAATCTTTGCACCACTACCTATGTACTGTTACAAATCCTTAATTATCATCAGGAAACATATCCAATGTTTGTATAGTTTTAGAAAGACTAAATCAGATACACCTACTGCTTCTTTAATTCTCCTGGGTATAATCAGTAATGGACTACTTAGTTACAAGAATCACCATGTACAATTGTACATATTTCCCAGTCATAATATTGATACGCAGTTTGCACATTACCAAAAAAAATTAATTAACGTATATATTTGGAAAAATATCCAGAGATGCCTAATGAACAATCTACCAAACCATGAACATTAGTGCAGGGTGTAGGTACACGTTGTCGGCATAGGCCAGTGTCTATAGAGGCGGCGGCAGGATATAAATCCCACACCCGCGCGAGCACCGCGCTTCTTCTTTTACTCAGCTCACAAACGCCCTAGCTTTCGGGCATTTTATTGTATCGGCACTAATAAAATCTGTCATGATTCTGGTTTGGAGAAAAATATCTATGTACTAGTAATATACAGTCCTTTGTTTTACTTCATACATACATACATAACTTCACGACTGTCTCCCATGGGTAGGCAGAGACTATGGAACGCCAATTGCTACGATTCTTACATAGGTACCTTCTATATCGATACTTCATAAACCTTAAAAGAGCCTCGACATACGTAGGTATCTACAAAACTTGTCTGCAGACCATTCCTTCTAATTGTTCTATGCAATAAACATGCTATCAACCCGGTAGTAATCAAGAATAAACTATATAATAAAGCTGCTACTGCTAACTGTACCAAAAACATTTCGCTGTGGTCTTCTACAAAACAAGTCAACAAAGTTCTCGACGTAATAGTCTGAGAGCAAACGAGAAAGTCACTTTATTTATCCGTTGTGGTCAGGAGATACACTGGTTAGCCTTTGAATAAAAGCACCGTTTAAATTAAACCTTAATTCAATGCTATTAAGGTATATAGTCCTATTGGTTTAGCAGTTACTTGGTATTTGTATTTTTAATTCATTCTCTCTTGGCAATACTGAATGCATATTTAAATTCCGAACGGTACAAAGAATTAAGAACGATGCCTTCAATAATGTGCAACAAATATTCTTAAGAATTTTAAAACTGCCCATTCCAACTACTATTAGGTATATGGTATAAAGTTTGATTCTGATTATAATGGGATCATCATCATCATATCAGCCACAGGACGTCCACTGCTGAACATAGGCCTCCCCCAATGACTTCCAGAGAGGCTGGTTGGAAGCGACCAGCATCCAACGGTGACCTGGGACTTTATCAGGTCGTTTTATAATGATTATGTTGTTTGAATACTTTAGAACAATAAAATATTTTCTAGAATGTGAAAAATAACACTAAAGGAGTGTAAAGCCAGTTCCTGAAGCTTATCTCAGTGCAGATCTAAGATTCAAGATCACATGCAAGTATAGTATTACTAAATAGATTTTTAAAAATAAATTTACATTTTGATCAAGATAAGATCGGTAATTTGATCTGTTGTGTATAGATAAGAGTCTATTTTGAGATTAGATCAAAATAACTTTGGTCGATAATTGTGTTACTAAGGCATACAAAAATCAATAAAGACTGAATTTATAATTATACACTAATTATGCCAAGTCAAGGAAGGAATGTGCCATGTAACGATTTGGGATTGAAGAAAAGTACAACTACCCAGTGCAATAAAAAGTAAAAAGGCCAAACATAAAATGTTCATAGAAAGTAAACTGAACGTATAATTCAAGTATTTATTGCATCCATAATGAACGTACGTACATAAAGGTGGTTAGAAAATACAATAATAACAATTATGGACCCTGTCGGGCGCAGCAAGATTTAAAATTGTTAGGAGATACATACATAAAATATTTCTTTTAGTTCCAAAAAAGAACAAAAATAAAAATTAACATAGGTAGACAAACAAACGCTCCATATGGATCCGCTATCCAGATTACTCATCATGCATTGATTAAAAAAACAACATTTTCTATTGCTACTAGTAAAAAACAAAAACAAACAATTTTGCAACCGAATTTCGCAACAATCGACCGCATTTTCAATGCAAATCATCTGACTTTTGTAACATATTCATATTTTTCAAATATTTCCATCTAGAATATCATGGAAACTACCGTTGTTTATTTGGTTCATATGTGTTTGTTAATCAAAAGTTTTAGATCTTCGCCAAGACCCACCAGTGTGCCTTGAGCCTTTTACGAGACAAAACATATTCACATACCACGTTCGTTTAAACGTGGTTCTCAACTATGACGTCATTATACAAGTTACAGGGAACTTGTTATACTTAATTATGATTTATTAATTGTTCTATTTGAATAACTGTGGGTAAAGCACGTGGCATCACTTGGTAACATAGCGTTGATCGATTGAAATGATAATTGATTTAAATTGGTTGTTAGTATTGACCTTTGCTTAAAATGTTCTTGGACCTTTAAAGGTTCGGTGCGTCTTGAGATCTTATCCATTAATTCTTCTTTATTCTCAAGAGGTTTCCTTGAAATGTGAATCATATAGAATAAACAGAAATTGTACGATAATAATATAATCAATGATGCTGTAATCTAAGTTTTCACTTATGGACCCAGCAACTTTAGCCAAATGCCATTTAGCGCTTGTCTACATGTAGAATAGAAAACCAAATTATATGGAATTGACGTAAATTTTGTCACTTGTAAGTGTCATCCCCACATTTTGATTTCTACTCTCTCTGTAGACAAGCGCTAAAGTGGCGTTTGGCTAAAAAGGCCCAGGCGCCATACGTTGTCTACAGATTACTTCGGTATTTCTCGACGCAGCTATGTATAACGAAATAATATGAAAAAATTAAATAGATATAACTAAGCCAGTTTTCATGAGATATTCACTAATGAATTGGCAAAGTATTTTTGGCCCTGTTGTTGTTGTTATTGTGTACATATCAAGTTTTTATATTAATTTACAAAACAGAGGTCACATCGAGCCTAGTTTAATATCTAGAATCACTATTAAGTATCATAATTTATCTTCATATAATAGTATCAATTTTATCTATCATCTTATCTCTAACGACTTGGACAATTAAACAACAAATTTGCATTTCTATTTTAACCGATTTACTAGTACCAATTATCTAGTTCATAGAGAATGAAAAAAAGAGTTGCTTTAAGCTAATTGGTGGGATATTTAGATACCTTGTATAGCCAACAAAATAATGTAACCAAAAATTGTATTGTGAACCTAATTGAAAAACCTATGGAGTTTCTTGCTCGTTCTTCTCCATAGGAATCTACACTTCGGAACGAGCAAATAGCTTCACTAGAGGACTGACCTACAGACTGACATTTTTTAATTATTATTTAATATTTAAATATTTTGTTTTTGACTTCAAAAGTGCCTTCCTGGTCTAATTGAAATAAATGATTTTGACTTTGACTTATAGTATACAAGTAATCATTTTATTACTGCTTTTCATTCAAACATAATTGCTTACAGTGTATCGAGTTTAGTGTATATTTAATACGACAGAATAATTATAATGTCACTTCTCTTCATTATACTGAGATAATAGCAAATATTAAAATTACACTTTAGACTGCCTCGTTGGCCGAGTGGTCGCAAGTGCGACTGCCGGGCAAGGGGTCTCGGGTTCGATTCCCGGGTCGGGCAAAGTATTACTGGGTTTTTCAAAAATCTCAGTAGTAGCACGGAGTCTGGAAATGTGCCCGGTATATGGCAATAAGCTCACCCCCTATTACATGGGACTTATAACGTAAATAGTGAAAAGTGGGTGTTACATTGTACAGTGGCATTAAGTGCCGAAATGTGCACCTCTGCTTACCCCTTCGGGGATAAAATGGCGTGATGTTATGTTATGTTAAAATTACAGAATGGCATGTCCTTCAGAATCTTAAATACTTAAGGTTCAGCATACAATATATGTAAAAATTCATACTCAAATAACAGGTTTTTTATTTGTAGATAAGTACTTACTTTGGTAAAGGTCAGTAACAATGCATATTGCGCAGGTCAACAAATACCGAAGTCCGAAAATGTTGAAATTTTCCTTCCATTATGACGTCAATTTTATCAATCATAGAATACCAATGTAAATTGTACAATGATAGAATACCTATTGTAATTGTATATTTTTATTTTCTAATGAATATTTATTCGGGAACATGTTTATTCTACATGTTCTTTTTTATAAGCTTTTATTTAACAATGTGTGTAATATGTATTTATTTATTTATATATCGGATCATATTTTGCGCACCTATTCAAAAACGAAAAGGAAACTAATCATTTGCGTCTAACTTTAAAAAAAATACGACGAACGAATTGCATTTAATCAGGTAAAAATCCACTTAGGTAAAACTGATAGCCCTCCGCTAACCTCATGTTTCTCGCTTC